TATTATATTTTAATATTCCTATTCATATATATATATATATATATATATATATATATATATGAATATGAATATTAAAACCAGTAATAATAATATATGTGACAAAACGTATGTTGAAATTGAAACGTATCTTTAAATTGAAATTTTTAATATATGTATATATATATATATATATATATATATATATATGTATATATATATATATATATGTATATATATATATATATATATTTATTTATGAAAATACGTAATTTCACATTTTCAGCAGTATATTTTTAAAAAACTTTAGATTTACGAAAAGCTATATGCTTTTGTAAATATTTTTGAAAAATGAAGATCTTCTATCATGTTTTCTCTTCCAAGTAATATAAAGAAAAAGGTGCATTGATAAATTTGTTAATTAATGATCTGAATTTTTATAAATTAAAAATTTTGTATATATATGTTAACGATATTTTTTAGATCTCGAAAATGAACGTGTGATACGTCCTAACGAAAGCCTAATGCCTTACGTTCAATCTAAATTAGATGTTCACTCGCACCCCACATGCATTCGTGTGCATTTGTGCATGGATGATCCAACGGACACCACATTTATCATTGACTCGGGACATATTCCTCCTCCTTGATATACTTTATTGGGCCTAATAGACCCGAATTGTTGATGTATCGAGTAAAGCAGGGTAGATTTGGACTAGAGTGTCGTCTAGACAACTAGCGTTTGAAAGTCGTTCTATTCAGTTTCACAATTGCCTTGCATGCAAAGCAAACATCGAACTGCCATTATCCACGAAACTCTAGTTACATATTATCGCTTACATATTATCGCTTTTAGCATATTAGCTTTGTTACACTTTCAAGCTAAACTCCTGAAAAACATTTTTGATTCTAAGCGTAAACATCGTATAAATCATAATGTGCTGTATACCAGTGTGGTTTGTTTGACTTACGACACTATTTTTATTCAGTAGTCCAGAATATTTGATTTTATCGAGTTAAACTTTATTGAAAGACTTTTTTATCTTGTCCTCTCCTTCCATCATTGAAAAGAAAATATTACAAAAAAATCTTTTCATCTGTCTTCCTTGAAAATACATTTATAAAATTTTAGCATATTAGCTTTGTTACACTTTCAAGCTAAACTCCTGAAAAACATTTTCGATTCCAAGCGTAAACATCGTATAAATCTTAATGTGCTGTATACCAGTGTGGTATATTTGACTTACAAGACTATTTTTATTTAGTAGTCCATAATATTTGATTTTATCGAGTTAAACTTCATTGAAATGACTTTTTTATCTTGTCCTCTCCTTCCATCATTGAAAAAAAAATATTACAAAAAAATCTTTTCATCTGTCTTCCTTGAAAATACATTTATAAAATAAAACACTTGTAATTAAAAATTAATTTTCTTGCTTGCAAAGTAATTTAAAAAATAAAATGGAAAGTTATACGGTTCCATTAAATTATTTTTCTTAAAAATATTTTTTTTAAATAAAGATATTCGATTATTATAAGCTTTGAATAAATAAAAAGAAGTAAACTTTGAAATGCTGAATTTTTTTAAATTGCAATATATTAAGATACTCATATATCTGTTTCAACAAAAATTTTTGATTTTTACGCGCTACTAAAATATGACAGAGATTAGATGCGTACATCTAGATTTGAATAATCCAATGACTGCAACATCAGTCAGGAAGGATTAATTCCGTTCCTTCACTCGCAGGAGCGCGAGATAGATCGAGAGCGGAGATCGAGTGTTTCGGGGGCGCACTAACTCAACATCGCACCGGCGCGAATCCAGAGCACTGGTATGTTATGAAACGATAGCATAGATCCGTGGCATGTTCAGTTAGAACCTCAATGGTTACAGGTTACCTAGGGCTTCCTGCGGAAATGGCCAATATACACCTCCGACCTCCAACTCACTCAGCTTCTCGCGCGAGAGCGCGCGCACTCGGATCACGCTCCTGTACTGTATATACCCATGTATATACACGATCTCCCTGCTGGTTTGCTCGACACGCACTCGTTACGGCTCATCATCATGATCTATGCGCCTACAACAAACGTTACATCCTTAATCCGTTCTAGTTGGCTCGATCCTACGCGCGCGTGCTATGCGAAAAAACTAATGATACCTTTCTAAAGATTTCGTCAATTTAAAAAAAAAATTCTCTTTTTTCAGCATATTTCAAAGTGCAAGAGTCGAAACTTTATTAATTATTTATTAATAGAATCTGATTTATAAAGAAAAATGTGCTGAATTTATTTGTATGCATTAGAACCAATTTAATTTTACATTAAAAGCAAACTACTTCTTGTAAATGTTTATTATATTATATGTTTCTTAATTTATTTGTATAAGCGGAACCATTACTGTTTTGATAATGAGATAAAAATTTATTTATTTGTTATTTATCGAAAGAATTTGCAGATTCAGCAAAATTGTCTTAATAAAAAGATTTATATTTTTAAAAGCTCTTTTTGTCTTAATAATTGACGCAATTTATTACGATAGTATAAGATATGCTACACCAGCAAAAGATACACTGGTACAAGTCGAGATTTATGACTACATAAATACATTACATAATATTGTTCATTACATAATATTCTTGATTTATGATGAGAAAAATAACTAATTGTTACATAAAAATTCTAACATTTTTTCAAGGAAACTTTGTGTAATTATATATATGACTCATATATAATTCTATATTTACTTATGTGGATCAGTTTAGTAGTTAAATTATTTATTCGAAAACTTCTATTCCATGGTATCAAAATAACAGTAATATGTTTCTATTGCATATATATATATATATATATATATATATATATATATATATATATATATATATATAAGACATACGACATATGACATACCTAGACAAAGAATTCGCATTTTGTCTGCTGGAAAGTCAAGCAGCGACTGAGACATTAACACGTTAAGACATTAGAACGTTAATTCAGATCTAAACTGGAGTTTCATGACTAACGCACATTCGTATCGCATAGTTTCCCTCGTTATAGCAATTAATTGCAGAATCTAAATTTGAAATTTATTGTACGTTATGCTGTTATATCTATCAAACACACACACACACACACATATATATATATATATATATATATATATATATCATATACTACATTTTAATTTATTACTAAAAATATGACGTAAATATTTATTTAAAAAATACTTAGAGAAAGAGGGACATATTTTAAACATATAATCGTATGCACGTACAAGAAAAATATACAATATTTTAGAGTTACATGTACAATTTTTATTTATTCACACATTTTATGGCAGCTTTGTGCAAAGAAAAAATCGTGATACATTGAAGATTGATCTGTTAGATATGCATTGAAGATCGATCTGTTAGATATGCATTCTTGGCTAAGAAAGGACTTCAGGTCATCGCGAAGAAAGAAGCGTCATACAGTTAACAATGGTACACAAATACAGACCGACTCTCGTTGTCCGCAGATGTAATCTGTCAAAATGAGTCATCATTTTAATGGGCTCACGACTAACAAACATATTCACGAGAATAACAATTGATGAAAGGATTCACAAAAATAGGAGATTGACCCTAAAAATTAGACGATGTTAATAGATTATAATTTTCTTTCTTTTAAGTATACATTAAATCTGGTAAATTAAGACTTATATTATTTTAATGCAAATTAAAAAATATAATATAATTATTTTTATTATATTTAACTTTTTTAAATATTTTTGAATAGGAATGATATATATATATATATATATATATATATATATATTATCTATTGATTACTTTAAAAATATTTTGAAAGAAATATAGACAGAAAAGAAATGTACTTTTTGATCATTATAATAAATCATCAAAAAATCGAAGTGTTTAATATTTAAAAAATTTATACATACAGATATCAATATCTCACTATAAAATATATAAGAAATGTAAATAAAAAATATATATTTTTAAAAATGTAACTTTTAGGGTGCATGGATGCCAATTTATAAAAATAATTTTAAAAATTTCTTATAAAATTATAATATATTACATAAAGTGTAAATGAAATTTCTCAATAAAAATGTATCAAAATGTACTACTTTGCATTTTTCTTTCGCACAATTTAATCCAGATGTTCATTATACTTCCTCAAAGATAACTATCGGCCGTTAGCTAATGGCACGTGCGAATAGATGAATGAAAGTTTACGGGGATAGTAAGAACAGGTCAATCTGCCAATTGACCAGTCAGAGTCAATAGTCGGTACCGTATGAACAGAACTCTGGATCATGTACCTCCCTTGCATTTGCACCCACACAAAACGGTCGTCGAGTATCTTCGTCGAGGAGAATTAACCACAAGCGGAGTGCAGCAGATAAGGGTGCTCGTGGCTCGTGGTGGGGGATGGTTAACTCTGGAGTGGCTGTTCGGAGTCAGTTGCTCTTATGTTCGCCAGCCATCAACAGTGCGATCGCGTTGCGTGTCGCTCGACTATCGTCGTGCGACAAGAGTGTCATTGACAAGAACAATAAGCACGAATAGTAAAATCTGAAATATAATCTGACGTGCAATAAGAATCTACGAAACAATTGTAATAATAAAATTTTAGTGAAAAAAATTGGACAAGAAGAACCTGCCCGGACTCGGTGACTTTTTACATTTGAATCACGATGAAAGTGACAAAAAGTAATGATTCTGTGCATTCAGGATAATCGTAACATTCTGTGTGCAATATTTTGCAGTGCTAAAATCGTAATTTAAGTGACGAACTTTATGTAAAAAGATAATCACTCTACGCAATTTACAAGCGACAATAATTTCTTATCACTCGATTGTTCCATTGATGCTCAAATATTGAAGGAAATTACACATCAAGAAAGATTGTTTATATACAATCTTATTTCTCCTTCTTCGATAAAACTGGATGCATCATTTTGCATCGTCATTAATTCTTAGAATAATTATTTAATCAATAATAATTATTTAATAATCAACAATTCTATAAATTTTAGTCGCGAAAAATAATCGTAATCGATGAGGAAAAGATGTTTAAAAATAACATTGCGAGATAAAGCTCGTAGATTCATGATTTAAGCGCGAGAAAAGCGACTTCTCGATAACAGAAAAGATCGATAACGTTATTCGTGCATATATGATATGAATAATTTTGCTAGATTCCATTGTTATTTAAATGATTCAACAGCAACGTCATATTTCTATAAACGCAACGCAATTCCTCAGAATTTTTCTGGAACGTTGGGCTTCCGGTTTTCTCCGGATATTTAACGGAAATTCAAGATCAATTTGGTCCCAACTTCGTCACATTTGCTGATGCACTCGCGAGACACGCGACTTTGCGACGAGCGACGACGTTAACGACGACGGTGATATACTAGATCGCGACGCGGGATCTAGCGAGAGGCATGAGGAAGCTAAGCTAATCGATCGCACAGCCTAGATCATCGAGAAAATCGACAAGCACGATGACTATTTATAGTTGAACCGGTTGAGGATCGCGCGGAGGCTGATCGAACACAAGGATTTACGGGGGGGAGGGGATTATTATGTTAGGAACGGGACTATGCGTTTTGGTGAAGGTGTTGGTGCTGGCGGGGGCGGCCGTCGCACTCCTGCCGGAGGAGCACGATCTGGAAGACCGTGTTGTTCCGAGCCTTCAGGAGGAATGTGCCTCCAAATGTCCGGATCTAGATCTTATGCAGGTAAGAAGTCCTTTTTTGCGTGATAAAGAAGCTAAATATTATTGCAATTTACTTGTATAATTGAATCATAATGTACAACCAAAAAGTTTGATGTCAAGAAGAAATCTGAATCTGAGAAACCGATTTCTTCTCTCTTTCCATATCTATACAAAACAAAAATATAAAATCAATTTCAGCAAAAAATTCTAAAATCGGGTTGTTTATTCATCTTCATAAGATAAAATATGGAGCAAATACGTATATTTTCATGCGGCCGCAAATAAGGAGCATCGACAGATAACAGATGGTGATTTGGCAACTGAGATGACAGTTTATTTATTTGCTCTTTAGTCTGTAGTATACATATTGTGTGTGTGTGTGTGTGTGATAGATATATAATATATATGCATAATACATTGAAATCATGTCGTTAATAGATAGCCTATACCGATAAATCGTAATGTTACGCGATTACAATTTGATTATGATATTTTTGGCCTCTATCAAATCTCTTTTCCTTATCAATGTTATTTATGGTTACCTTTAACCGCATCGTACTACGCTATTATGAAAGTTTACAATACATTGCTCAGCAAAAAATTCTTTAATCTCCTTTTGATTTACTTTCTGTTATATAAAAAGTGAACAAAAAATCGGGTTGTTTATTCATCTCCATAAGATAAAATATGGAGCAAATACGTATATTTTCATGCGGCCGTAATAAGGAGCATCGAGAGATAATAGATGGTGATTTGGCAACTGAGATGACAGTTTATTTATTTGCTCTTTAGTCTGTAGTATACATATTGTGTGTGTGTATGTGTGTATAGATATATAATATATATGCATAATACATTGAAATCATGTCGTTAATAGATAGCCTATACCGATAAATCATAATATTACGCGATTACAATTTGATTATGATATTTTTGGCCTCTATCAAATCTCTTTTTCTTATCAATGTTATTTATGGTTACCTTTAACCGCATCGTACTACGCTATTATGAAAGTTTACAATACATTGCTCAATACCACGATTATTTTAATTTGAATAAGTATATCGTTAAATATGACACGCGATAAGTATATAATTAAATTACTTGTGTATTAATTTGATTTTTAAGTTTATTTAAAATTTCGATTAATATGTAATTTGTTGTTAATTTAGAAGAAAGAGAGAATGCTGTACAAAATTTAAATCTTATTAATTATTAAGATACGTGTAAAATTACTATCTTCCTTAGACTATACAGTCCTTAAAAAAATTATTAATATTTATATTAATAATGTTATTATATATTAATATTTTTTTAAATCTAAATATTATAAATCATTAAAAATCACTTTTTATTTCAGTTTTTCAACTTTAAAAATAGCTTTTCATCATGCAATATTTATTCGATGTTTTCTAATCGTCGTATAATTAACTCGTTGAATGCCAATTATTTTTCGCTAATTAATGAAGAATATTTAAAGCACGCAACGCGTAATTTGCGCCATACGTGATCTTCAAAATTCATGTCGGTCCATCAATTCATCGCGCTGCGATAACCCATTAGCATTCCTCGCGATGCAACGCATGTATGTGCATCCTTGCACATCGCATCTGTGACGTAATTTCTCGATTCGAATTGTCAATTTATCGAAAGCGCAAGAAACTCACGTACTTGATAGCACTTGACACTTTTATTCATTTTGTTTCAATCCATGATTATATTATATAATCATTAATATCAATATTACATAATATTTTTATCAGAATTCTTTATAGTATCTCTTACATACATAATAATGGAATAAAGATCTCGCAGTAACAACAATTTAATGAAAATTTTGATATAAATAACATGCAATTATAAAAATACGCAGAATATTTCACTCAAAATTATCGTTTACAATTATTTTGCTTTCCGATATTAATACTTAACTGTAATGTCAAAGTAAAATAATCTCTCGAAAATGTTTAATTTAAAAACTAAAGTATTTTCTTTGGTACCATGCTAAGCATCCTCAGCTGCAAGCTGAGCGGTGGCGGCACGAAAATGGCTGTGCGGGAGTTTATGCGGCGAAGGACGTATCAATTTAAGTCCACTCTCCAGCCCGACTGTACATTCATTAATTAACTTAACTACACGACGGCGCATCATGGTAACCTATAAGCATAGCGTCGAGGATGAAAGACGAGCACGTAACGGATACAGGGCCATCTAATCCCTTTCTTGAGAAGGACAAAAACATTGTTTTAAGTGCTGTTCTCGTTGCGCGCGATTTGGAATATTAATTATATAAATTATACTAATCGTGCATGCGTGTATTGCATTTCATACAAACTTCAAACGCATAATCTGAAAATTTTTGGAAATTATTTTTTTATTACTCTCTTCCTAACATCCATACATAATCTTAGCTTGTAATAAACTATTATAAATATTATAAATATTAAAATTCACATTGTAAATCTACTAAACTTTAACAAAATAAAAATTGTGTATGTGTATAAATTTAAATTTTTGGAAAAATAATCTTTAATAATTTAATAAGCATTATACTATTTTACTTTGTATCATTTTCGATATCAAAATAAACAGGCTTAATGCGATATAAGCGTGCAAAAAGCTTTGCCATAAACCAGTTTTAATCAGTGCATTCGACAATTGAGAAGAACGAATTGGTACTAATTATCAATTTAACTATCCTCAAAAAGATCATCGCCAACGTTTCTTCTATATCAGATCACGCTCAATCTTGCATACTATCCTGGAGGTCTTCCTAATCATGTAAAATTCTCGTACATTAATGATATATAAAACAAATCTAATAATAATTTTTTTCAATTATTTCAAGTTATTTCAATAAAAACACGTGATGCTCTAAATTAAATAACGACGTTATTTAATCCATTGATAACGTTCGATATAAAAAAAATTTTATATATTATTTTATATATTATAATAAGTTTCAAGAACAATTTTATAAATTATTCTACATTACGATAGTAATTATTCTATTTCACTTTTCGTTTCCTCGCACAAAATTGCAAAGGATTAATTTTTATTCTAATTATTCTGGTTTTAATTGAGCGATATTATAAGTCATCGAACTCACCCAACCCTTCTTCGTCTGCGATTGTCGATTCAATTACCCCGTTGTAGCCAGATAAGAATGGTCCAGAAAAATCACTTTGTTCGATTCCTTATCTGTCATGCATATAATTCATTCTCTTATTAATCTTCCTTTTCCTCTTTGTCAATTTTCAAATAATCGAGAAAAACTACTTAAAGACAGTAAAGTAAACAATGATCTCGATTGCGTTTTTTCCTGTAAAAAGCACACAAAATAATTTATGAATCGAGTAGATATGATTTTTTGCATTCTTGCTGTATGCTTATATTTTAAATATTATAATAGATTCATGAAATAGATTGCTATGAGAAAGATGTAAATCAGAAGAAATTCATATTTTGACATCAAATATTAATTAGACTGATTTAATCTTAATAAATCTTTTTATATTACACAGATAAATTTAATCCTTATTATAAGTATAAAATTGTTTAATTATACTACGCTATGTTTAATGCGCTATTCCTTTTATAATACTTAACAGTGGAGAAGAATTGTTTCTTGGTTTAAATAATACATTCACATGTTTTATTTAGTTTGGAGTATTGATGATTTAATTCTTGAAGAGTCTTCCGTCAGTTAAAAATGATATGACAGGCGCCCATATTATTTACTAAACACGCGAGTATTAGTAGTAAAGTTCATATCATATCTTGGAGTGCTTAGAGAATGACCTTAATGTTGCATAACATCCACGGAGGAATATTCTTAATGCGTTCGTTTCTTAAACAGCCCTGACTTCTTCTAATCTCGAATCAATATGATAACTCTTACTTAATACTTAATAAATAATTTATCATTCTTCTCAACGTTATTTCTAATATACCGTTTTTAAATATGTTGCAACATCAAAAGGCATTAAATCAAAATGAAGTATAATAGAAAGAATATGCACATATTATATTAAAAGGATTTTTTAATTAAACTTATTTTGAGAAAATTAATATATCAATGCGAGAACAATTTTATAAATGATAAAATTAAAAGATTAAATGCTCAAAAATAAGGGATTTGATAGAAAACTCTCACTATTTCATTTTCTTTTTCATTTAAATTGAGATAAATTTATAGAGTTCCCTTTATAAAATAAAAAAAGGTATAGTAAAACGTTAAAATAATCTTATATGTCATTATTCTACATTTTCATCATAAAATAATGCAAATTCTTAAGAACAAGTAACAATATTATATCTTCTCAGTATATATTATTCTTTATTATAACGCATATTATTGCATAATTTAAATCACATTTAATGTGAGAGTAAATATTTCAAGTACGACTAACATTTTATAAAACGTAAAAATATGTATTTTATACTATAACTTTACTTGTGAAAACATTTCTTTGAAAAGTTAGTTAAACATAATAAAAATACTGAAATTATAATTCAAGAAGCTAATTTAATATATTTTAATTTTAGATTAGATAATCTTTCTCTTTTATAAATAATTTTCATAAAGAAGGATGTGAAAAAAGGTATGTGAATAAAGGGATGAATATTAATAAAAAGACTATGTATATGTATATTTTAATGATTGGAGTTTATGAAATATTAAAGCAATTTCCTAATTTTTCTCGCGCGATGAGCCTGATGTTACGTCGAATATGCAGGATCGTCAGGCATGCAACATTATATGTGTAGCCATACACAATAAACTTCCTGCCGGCCACATCCTCTTACCTACAACGTAGCGCAGTAGGGGTTCACCTCGAGCATCGATAATCGTGCGAATTTCGCCTTTAATCGCGATGCAAATCTGGAGTGCGTAATACGTATGATTTTCTGCATTTGTATCAATAATGCATTACAAGACAAATTAATTTATATTCGGCGTATACAACAAAACTTTACATAAATTATTTCCGGTAATTAATATTCTTTTCGAGCTAAAAA